GCATGGGGGAAAGCAAGATACAATGCTATCTAAATACAGTATGTGCTTCGTAAATACGCACAGGAAGGAAAGAGGCAGGAGAGCAAGACACCCAGTGTGGACTGTGGCTGCAGGTGGATGAGGCTCGGGCCATTTTTATTTTCATCTCTCTTTCTATACATTTGAAGTTTTCTACAATGAGCAGGTGTGATTTTGATAATCAGGACCAAGTTTTTTTTGAACATATAAATTTATCATTTTACTTGCCTGTCTGCCTCCCAGGGGCTGTGAATGTTCCTCAGAGGAGAAAACTGTGCTTGAATCATTCCTGTGTCTCCACCAACTAGCACTGGGCAGGGCACATAGTAGGCGTGTGATGAATGTGGGATGGATGGATGGATGGATGGAGTGTGTTGGGGGTTGTACAGCTCAGCGGTTAAGAATAAGAGCTTAGGCTCAGACTCGGGTTGGAGTGAGCTCTGCCTCTTGGCAGCTGTGTGACACTGAGTAAGTCACTTAACCTCTCTGAGCTTCTGTTTCTTCATCCGTGAAAGGGGCTCCACTTGCTGTCTGACGGGAAGCTGAGGGTATGCATGCACAGTCCCTGACACAGACCAGACCTCAACAGCCTGCAAAGACTGGATCTTCAACTGGAGGAGATGGGGAATGGGTGCCCTGCTGCTTCTTCCAAAAATGCAGACTGATTCTCTCCCTGTCCTTCTTCATGCCCGGGCTTCAAATTCAAACTGGATTTGGCTTCCGCACAGGCTCTGCCTGTGACTAGCTGTGTCCCCTTGGGCAAGCCCCATCACCTCTATGCTTCTCTGTTTTCTTCTGGATTACAGTATCGATAATAATAGCTGGCATGTCTTAAGTGCTTACTGTTTGCCAGGCTCTGTGCTGAGCACCTCCTGTATACTGAGAAGTGAGGTGCTATGATGGTTAAGGTTCACATTGCTAGTTTACTCCCTCCTCCAGCTGGACAACCTTGGGCAAGTGCCTTAACCTCTCTGTGCCTCCCTTTCCTCCCTGTAAGATGGAGTTAACAACAGCGTGCACCTCACTGGGTTCCTTATGAAGATTACGTGATGTAATAGGTACAAAGTGTTTCAGAGAGTGCCTGGCACTTAGCACACAATCGACTCATCTTAGGTAATCATCATGACAGCTGGCTGCTCTTATGTACTTCTTAGCCCCAAAAGGAATCGGGAGGCTCAGAGAGGTGAAGTGACCTGCCCAAAGCTGCACAGTCAGCAAGCTATAGAACGGGAAGGGGGACCCTGATTTGGTTGCTCAGAGCACAGGCTCTCCCAGGGCTGGGGGAGGTTAAAGGAGCCGGCAAGGTGTGTGGCACATCCAAGGGGCCAGCTCCACCTGGGAAGTCAGACTTCCCACCCGGCCCCAGCCCAGCCCCGTGAGCGGCTCCTCCCTCCCCTCCCAGCCCATGATGGGCTCTGAATCCTTTACAGCTCCAGGCCCGCATCACTGCATCAAGCAGTGCCCTTGCCAGCTTCAGAGAAAAACCAAATGTGTTCAGCGTCAGCTCAAAGCAGCGTCTTGTTTTTATTAGCATTAATCTAATACGTTGTCTTTCCTTGCTGAACTCTGAATAAGTTAATCAAGGACAGGCTGGATTTGTGTTTTCTTAATAACGCCGCCTGATTCCAAAGGCTGCCTGCTGTGAGCTCTAGGCTCTGGGCTTCTTTCTTAGTTTCTCTTCCTTCTCTCTTTACATTTTATAAAATATATCCGATGTCCAGGGGCAGAGGGGTTAGTATGGTATAGGAAAAGGCTCACAAGCTTTGGAATGAAATGGATCTTGTTTCAGGGCGCCTGGGTGGCTCAGTCATTAGGCGTCTGCCTTCGGCTCAGGTCATGATCCCAGGGTCCTGGGATCAAGCCCTGCATAGGGCTCCCTGCTCCGTGGGAAGCCTGCTTCTCCCTCTCCACTGCCCCCTGCTTGTGTTACCTCTCTCGCTGTGTCTCTGTCAAATAAATAAAATCTTTAAAAAAAAAGAAATGGACCTTGTTTTCAAATCTTTCTGAGTTTAAAAGTTTCCCCATTTGTGACACAGAACAACAGTGGCCTCTAACTTCCTATGTCGTGATAATTAAATAAGGCAATGAAGCACTTACAACATGGTCTAGCCCCTAATGATCACTCAAGAGATGGTAGCTATTATTACTGCTATGGATAATAACACCACCGATTAAAGTGACCTATTATTATGAACCAGGAGATGTGATAAGCATCTTACATGTATCATTCCATTCAAATAATATGTGAAAAACAGGGTGCCTGGGTGGCTCAGTCGGTTAAGTGTTTGCCTTCGGCTCGGGTTGTGACCTCGGGATCCTTGGATCCAGACCCGTGTCAGGCTCCCTGCTCAGAGGGGGAGTCTGCTTCTCCCTCTCCCTGTGCCCTTTCCCCCACTCATTCTCTCAAAAATAAAATTTAAAAAAATCTTTAATATGTGAAAAACTGGACAGTGGCTGGCATGACGTAGGTGTTCAAGAAATGATAGTAATCGTTAGTAGTAATGGCAGTGAGAGTTCACTCTCACAACAACTGGGAGGTGTTGTGAGTGTTGTTATCAACTGCACTACAAGGAATTCATATTCTGTCTGGAACCTTGACAAGCACAGGCGATTATCACTTAACCTAAAGACCCTGACAAGGACCAGAGAGGAAGGAGGAGCATTTGATCAAGCCTGGCCAGGCGGGGGGTGGGGGGGTGGTGTTAGGGACAATTTCCTGGAGGTGAACGAAGATGAGAGCTGGAGGAAGAGTGGAGTTGACCCTTGGGAGGCACTCCAGACAGAGGGATGGTCATTCATTCATGGGTCCATCCAGTCTTTCATTCATTCACCAAGTAGGTACTGAGCACCAGGGCTGTGCTGGGTGCTGTCCCAGGTGCTGAATGAACAGACACCCACCCCACCCCCCCTCGGGGAGGGGGGAATGATGGGAATAAGACTGGCAACATCTCTGCCCTCATGGACCTGACAGTCTAGGAGGGGAGGCAGACTACAAACGAGGAAGCAAACACATCAAGAGGATGCTTCTGGATGATGGTAAGTGCCGTCACAAAAATAAAACCGGGGAATATGGTTGTGACCAGGTACAAAGTGGGGCTATTGTACTTAGGAAGCCTCTATGGGACGGCGAGGTTTGACTGGGGACCCAAAGGAAGGGAGGAAGGGAGCCATGGAAAGATACAGAGGAAGAGCATCCCACATAGAAGGAACTGGCCATACAAAGACCCTGCGTCAGGAATGGGCTTGGTGCACTCAGCAAAAGGGAAGAAGGACAGTGGGGCAGGGTGTGGTGGTGAGGGGGACAGGGGGAGTGTTACAAGATGAGATTGGAGAGGTAGCCACAGTAGGAGACTCTGGACTTTATCCTAGGTGAGGTAACAGTATATCCTAAGGTGTGGGCTTGTGACAAACTTTGGGGCTTGCAAACTACCAGAAGGAGTTGGGAGTGGCTGGGGAGAGAGACAACCAGGTGGGTGGAGAAGGAAAGAAAAGCCACTTCCCGATTTCTCCATCAGTGCAGCACCTCACACCTCACCCGTGCCTACAAGATGGGGTCCCTTCCACAGGCAGATCCATGAGAGTTTCCTGGTCACCTTTAAGAACCTACTATGTGCCAAGTGCTGTCTCAGTGAGCTCTCAGGAAAAGCCCAGACGGGAGGGATCGCTGTCCCTATTTCACAAACGACAAAACTGAAGCATGAGGAGGTAAAGCCATGTGCCTAGACACACGGCTGGCTGGGACAGAACTGGAATACAAATCCAAGTGCCCCAATCTGTTCTGCCACCTCCCACCTTCTCCTTCACCTCCCTGTGAACGCTGCATTCTTGGAAGAGGCAGCTTCTAGGAAATCCCCGAGGGTGGGAAGGTGGGGTCTCCTGGCTGGCTCCTGAGCCAGGTATGGGGTGGGACTGAAGCAGGGGAATGTGCTCCCCTGGGTGAGTCCCCGCTGCTAATCCCGTTTCCCTCAGTGGTGAGAGAAGGGGTTTTCTAGGAGCTGAATCACAGCGGAAGTGTGACATGTGGCAGGAAACACAAAGGCTGGGGAGGTTTTCCTTCTGCCCTGATTGGTGGTGGATCTTCCCAAACCATCTGGTCCGGACTCCCAAAACGTGCGTTTGTGTTCATCTCCGGAGCGGCAGGGTTGCGGGCTCCGCCCCCGCACGCTGGGCAGACGCTGGGCAGACCTCAGCCCACTCTGGGAGATGGTTAGCAGGCCGAGTACTCGGGCCAGGCAGGTTTGAGTTCAACTCTACCGCTCTACGGCCTTGGGCAAGGGTCTCCCTTCACCAAGCCTCAGTTTCCGGAAGTGTAACCTGGGTGTAGGATCACGCTCCTTGCTCAAGTCCGTGGGGCCGAGCGGAAATCAGGTAAGGTACTGCACTCACAAAGGAGAGCCCTTTTTGACTGAAAGGCTAAGAAATCGCAAGGAAATATGCCCAGGGCCATGATGCCCTCCAGGAGCCATCCCCAAGAGATCCAGCGAGGAGGACCGACAGGCCACATGGTAGAGCAGAAGCTCTCACAGCCCTGGGCTCGTGGTGCCTCAGTTTCCTCATCCCTAAAATGGGAATGGAGCACCATCCACGCAGAATCGTGGCAACACTTCAATACACGTAGAGGGCTTAGAAAAGTACCTGGCACACAGTAAGTGCTCAGTCGATGCTGCTTCATTTTCATGTGTATTTATTTAACAAGCCTGAGAAGGCTGCGAGGAAGTGTCAGGCTTTGAACTCTGACAGATGTAGGGTCCAAATCCATGCTTGGCTGTTTACAAGCTGTGTGACCTTGGGCAAGTTACTTTACCTCTCTGAGCTTCCCATTTCTCCTCTGAAATGGGGGTGACATCGGAGCCCCTGTCATGTCGATAGTGGTAACTGCATGGCAGGTGGTTCCCATTAAACACTGAGACCTGGTGGTTGTTCCTATATTCTTCTCAGCCCCTCCCTTCTCCTTGGCCACCGTCCCGGTCTACCCCTCTTACCTCGCTCCTCCTCCTTCTCCCGGACGATCCTCCCCTTGAGGGCTCGGCTCCAGGCTCCACCGTAATCACCCAGCTTGGTCCTCTCGCTCCCGTCCTTGGCCTTGAACCAGGGTCCGTACCGGCGGGCGAGGCTCGAGGCCTCACCCGCGTCCCGGAAGCCTCTGCCCAGACGCAGGTCACCCAAGAAGGGCAGCTCGGCGCCCTCGGCCGGGACCCCCGCGGCGGGGCTGGCCTGGTTCTGGGAGACAGCAGGCTGGCCCACGAAGCCAGAGTGCAGGAAGACCAGGCTCCCCGCCGTCAGGTAGAGCACCAGGAAGGTAAAGAAACGCACGGGCTTCCTGCGGAAGTACCGCTGGAATTTGAACCAGAGCTTGGCCATAGCAGGATCATTCCGGACTGGCTCGCTGGGGCTCGGCTGGTGGGGTGTTGGGGGGTGGGGGTGTTCAGGAAGAGGAGGGAGGGGGCTGTGTTTCCCAAGCTTCCCTCAGGGATGGAACCCCTGGGGGTGTGCAGCCTTCTTCCCTCCGTGAAGGTGAGGGCCGAAACCAGAGTGGTAGGCCAAGTCTGGCCCTCCTGAGGTCAAGGTGAGCTTCTCCGGCCCACAAAAGGGGCCCAACACCCGGGAGTTGGTCCCATTTTCCTACATCTTGTTCTCTGCGTCAGAGAGTTCCCAAAGAACTTTGACCATAGCAATCGCAGGAGAATTCCACCGGCCACCAGCACTGCGGTTCGCTTCTCGCCTCTTCTTGGCTCCTCAGGCCTGTCAGGGCTGGATGATTTCACTCAGGGCGGTTTCCTGGCCCCTTCCCCAGCTGGGGGCCAAGCTCAGTGTGTCCACCTCATGGAAACAGAAGCTGGCAGGCTTCCATCAGCTCAAGCATTAAGGCTCGGGGCTGCCACCTGCAAAACAGTATGGACACAGATTTAAGAAGCCCCTTCACAGAGGCCAGAGCTCAAAGGGTTCCTGAACCTTCTCAAGGGGGATGCAGAGGCCCAGAGAAGGGAGGGGACCAATGTCCTAAAGCACCCAGCAGTGCTGGGTCTTCTGGAATCCCTGCCTTTTTTCAAACCACACTGGGAATTTGGGGGCTTGACTCCTATGGGGCCCACATTTTGGGACAAGCTTTATCTTGGACAAGCACAAGTTCTTATGCCCCGCATTTCCTATGTATTTGTCAAATATACACAGATTCATGAATTATTTTAAGTTCAAAAAGTACCTTCTAGGGTCCTTGCTGAACTGCCTGATGGACCTGGCTGATTCTGAACCAGATGAAATTCACACACCCTCCCCCCC